TTCACTCAGCAGTAACGAAATCATCAGAAGCCAACAGATCTGCCTTACATTTTTAAATAGCTATTTTAAGGAGGAACAAACCCACTAGCATATCCTGACATCTTCACAAGTGTCATTTTGCAGCTAAGTCAAGCTATATTTTTAATAAGACATCTTGCATCTTCAATATGCACAGAAAAAAGCTGCAGGAATTGCTCTGCTTTTTCCAACAGAACAATGTCACAAAAACTGCAAAGCCATGATTGACATGCCTTGCACATAAAACACAGAGCTATGGATGAATGGCAAATTATAAAAGAGACCTTAAGTAACACAACACCTAACATTAAATTTCTAAGCCATTTTCCAGGATTTACACAATGATTATCAACTTACATTTGCCTGAAGTGTTATATTTGCAGCTTTAGGAATTAGGGTATCTGATTAACATGTATGCTGTATGTGCTGTAGCCACTTTGTAGTGTTTATGAAGTCTTTCAATGTGCCCTTGAAAAGGGAAGAGATGAAAGAGAAGGAATATATGCTCTTAGGCACTACAGAAATATACTGCTGCTTTTCTTTTAAAGACATGCATTGCTTAAAACTAATGTACATTTTGACTTCCTTTTGTTTACCTGTAGGGCTCACAAATTTTAGAGAACAGAAATATGGAAGAAGCTTAAACCTGAGATTCTTTGCCTCCAAGAGGAAAAGCAAGGTATGTGTATCTCTCTCTCTCAATTCCAGCCCCCATATCTATCATGTTCAGCACAGTACTACACACCCTACCTTGCAACTCACTATACTTTCTTTAAAATAAAGAAGTATCACACACCCCTTATAAAATACAGCTCACCATAAAAACGACTCAAAGTACTTTCTATACACAGCACTTTGTCTATTTCCTTTATGTCAAGGAATAGTGTTACTGGACTAAAGCCTCCTTAAAAAACCAAAACAACAACAATAACAAAAACAAAAACTTGTCAATTGAAGTGGCCCTGACACCAAACCCCGCAAGGTCCCAATCTCTTCAGTATCTTAAGATCCTATGCGTGCTTAGTCCAGAAAGAAGAGGTGCAAGCACTACAAAAGCCTGCCACCAAGTCTGCCTTAGTCCTGATACCAGTAGCTGAGGATTTGACAGAGCTCTTAGTCCATTTTGATACCACCATTACACAGTGAGAAGTCTTAAAACACATGAACACCCCCTCCACCCCCAAAACACAATATAGAGTTCAACTACCTACACATAGTTTTGTCCCAAGCCACTGGATCACAACCTTTTAGACTCAAGGCACCCGTGAGAAAGAGTGCTAGTTCTTAGTTTTCACTCTTTTTTTTATTACAGAAAAATAGAACTATTCTCCAGGGCAAAGAACTCAGAAAGACCACAACAGGTCAGAATGATTTTAACACTATGCTATTTGAAATTTCTGGGCTTAGTTTGAGAATCATGTTACCACTATTAGTTGTGCAAACATTTCAGGGGTATTGTGGGGTGCCATGAAAGGAGTGCTATGGAACCCTGGTTAAGAGTTATTGTCTTAAGCATATGATATTCAAAGACCTTTTGATATGTAGGGTACAGACTAATTTTCACAGGATGAAAATAGAGGTGCAGGAAGTGCACCAAGAGAATGTTAGGTTGATTTAAAAGACAACCAGAAAATTCTGACATTAATTTTGGCATAAATCTAAGATGGTGATGCAATGGAACCGTGTTCCTGAAGAATACAGTGAAGGAAGGGATAGCTTTCAGAACTTAATCTTTTTGTAATAGATGTGTGTTCAGAAAGGACAGGTGAAGTACAGGCACACCTTTCCAAAGCCAATACATCCTCTAACCCTAGGCTCAGATCTCATATTAACATTGACTCAAGAAGGAAATTTAGTCTTTTAAAAAACAAAAAGTCTCTGACAGTTAGATGACAGTATTTGCTACACTGGTAGATAAGCATGTTTCTTTCCTCTGCATAAGAGGAACACCTCTGCAATTGATTTTCTGAGCATAGCGGAGAGCACATTGCAACACTGCTCACCACAACTATTCATTGACCAGTTGACTGTCCTATTTCTTCATCAGTAATCTTTCTACTGCTTGTTTCAAAAACCACCAGAGCTAGAGGTGTCATCTGCAAGTCCATACAGGCACTCCTCACTTAACGACCGAGTTCCGTTCCTGCGACTAGGTCGTTAAGCGAATTGGTCGATAAGCGAGGAGCCGCCCCTTGATACTGCGTGCCTTGGCTTGAGACGCCGCGCTGCCGTTTCCACGACCAAAGTTCTCGTACTTACGACCAGTTCTTGCTGGTCGTAAGTCCGCGCGGTCGTTAAACAGGTAGGTCGTTAAGTGAGGAGTACCTGTATTTTGTTTCCTAGATGACTGGCAGTGACAGAGCACTGTTCCACTTGTTTACAAAGAACTTTGTGGTCACGTGATTCTTGAATCATATTCCTCTGTGACAAATGCTGTGGACAAATAATTTTAAGACACCTAGTTCTCACTATATTGCTTAACATGTGAGACTTCTGAAAGATTAAAAGAATTTCCATGTAGCTTTTACCCTAACTAACATTGCAACAGTACCATTCAGAGTCAAGCATTAACATTTACAAGATCACCATGAAACACAGCACTAATGACCACATCACTGATCTAGCAGCTTTCCTTCAGCA